TCCTTATTCTTACTGTTCATTGCTCTAGATGACATGCACGGACTTTAGACCTTTCAATCTGTGTCAAATTGTCCTTGATCGCTAAATCTGGCATACTGCGTAGAAGTTATTAGTTTAAATAAAATAAGAAAACAGTAGATTATTCTTAGGCTAATATAAATTATCCGATGTTATAGATATAATATGGTACTTGCATGATTTTGAAATAAATTAGGTCTAGCAGGCTGGAGCGCGAAGTGTGAATTTCAAATGCACTTAATAAGTAATAATTGTACACAGTGCGGATATTCCTCTGAATGTATATTATTGACAGAAAGGCCCAATAATAAAATTATAACAATAATTTTTTTATTTGCAGCACATTCGAGTTTATTATTTTATGATGGTTAGTGCTGAAATGTATTTACTGTCGTTTTGCTGCCATCTCAAGGTCAGCGGTGGTTTATTTGGGACGGCATTTATTCTTAGACCAGGTATAGGAAGCAGATTGCCAGCCTTCTTAACATCTTGTGGATCATTTCCATCTGTCTTGATAATACTATAAAGAAAATAATAAAATGCTTTTAAAACAGAGTCCTGTAATTTAGAATCTTTAAACGGGCATCAATCTGTTTTCGATGCAAAATGGCTTAACAATGTCTCTTGTTTCTTTACAAGACCCAGGATCACTAACAAGCTTGTCAAAAAAATATTTCTGATTGAAGTATATTATTTTTATTTTAAACACGCTAGCAATAAAATAAATGACACCAGGGGATGAGAGTAAAAAAATAAAGAAAGTAAATAGAATGCACATTTTACCAGTATTTTATTTTTTACAAAAATAAATTTATTAGGTAGGTATATCAAGACTTTATATGAATAAAAAATACTATATAATAATGTACTCTCAGTATAAGCTTTTTTTTTTACAGTTATGGTATTTGGTATAGATTGTAAAAAAGCTTACACTGAGAGTATGTTTTTATTTTGCATTTCATTAATCGTTGCTGCATTTCTGTTCACAGGCCAACTGTCTTTCATTGTCCTTGTTTCATTGTACAGTGATAAAGTTGAATCTGAATCTGAATGACAAGTATACATCATTCAATCAAAGTTACAAAACAACAAGAACAGAGGCCCGAAAAGTATGAACATTTTAATTTCTTAATTTATTTAATTCTTCTTTTGGCACAATGTATTTTTAATTTAGGCATGAACCACAGATCACAACTCTTACAGGAGTATTTTAAGTCATTTCAAAGTGAGCTTCAATATTTAGGCCATAATAGACAAATGCAAAAATTCTAAAAAGTCAATTTCTGCTTTAAGTTGGGCTTTAAATTTTAAATTAGTTTTGAATTCCTGACGGTTCTAACTTTAGTAAATATCCCTATTAATGTTCCAAAGGTTAAATAATGCCCTGGATGTTAATGGTACTTTCTGAAGTGTTTATAGTGGAAGAGATCTGTACAGCAAAAAGCGCAACCTGTTCCAAGATATTTCACATTTTTCAGTAATTGAACGCCATCTTCAGCTCGAGGTAATTGGATGGAATAATGGATCCAGGCTGGCACTGTAATCCAAGTTTTGTGTGTGGTGTCTACACACTACTTGTACAACTTGGCCTGAGCTCTCCTACCAGGAGAAGGAGCAGAATCAAGGGACGTCCGTGCACGGACCAAGGATCTGCCATTCGATTTACATAGCATAGATCACTAAGCATGCATGTCTAAACAGGTAACAAATATGATATGGCTGCTTTCAATTTACTGAGTAGTTTCCCTTATCCTATGGGATACTCATCACATAAATCCCTACTGTACGGAGGTTTATGGGATGAATATTTTTCCCTGGTGTGGATAGGACTGTTTGCAGCTTGAATCTTTGATAGTACGCATCATTTTTGTTTTTTTTATTTCTTTTCTTTTTTATTTTTTTTTGCAGTTTTAATGCATTATCTTTATAATGTGTTAAAAAAATAGTGGGTCATTTTTATTTTATAGTTTTCATTTTAAATTTTTTTGGTTATGATCTTTGGGCAGAACAAAGGAAAAGTGAAAAAGATGTTCATAGATAAAACAGACTATTTGCATACTTCTGGCCTAATTTTCCAGAATCTTTAGTTTAATCATTTATTTTCTGCAGATTGTCGATTACCATCATTATCACAGATATTATAAATTATTTCATTGTAATATATCAATCATCAGACCCACAGGTTGCTTCCAGCCATACTACAAATCCCATGATACCTTGCAATGGTATCTTCCTAGCCTATATACTGACAAAATATCATGGGACATTTTCACAGCTCGTTGGAAAGATTCCATTTGACGCTCGGGTACCATTATAAAGTCTCCAACAAATGCTACTTAAATAATGCATGGTGAGCAGACTGGGCCAATATTTTATCATCTGCAGATGATGCCGTTTAATTGGATAACATTTAATAACTACTATATGTATGATTTGAGTGAATGACGAGGGGCTAGGACATGACAGAAATGTTAAAATACACTGGGGATTCCAACTAGAATTGCGGTGAATATGTTTGAAAAATGAAAATGCCCTTTTATACTGGCCATAATTTGAAGCCGCGGGCAATGAGACTTTGGGTTATGTGACAATGTACTACTTTAGTTAAAGTGCGGTAGATATAGAAAATATCCTAAAATACACGTTAAAAGCTAATTTACTATTTGGTAGTAGTATTATCTCAACCTTTATAAGAGCAGGGGGCACACATTGAACATTATATAAAGTTATAAATCACTTGAAAAAAATATTCATGGTTGATTTGACTGATTTTTAATACGCCCATTTCATGTTTATCCAGGCTCTATGAGAATTTAATTTCTGATATTTTTTTTTTTTGTAAATGGTGCATGGTTAAAATAGTGAATTTGACATTAGATGTCACCTGGGGTCTGCAATAGCAAATGGCATGTGTTGTCAATTTTACACAGCGCAGGCACATAAATGTACACTACATGTCCAGAAATCAGGGCCTATTAAAATAAAATGATATTTTATTTTTTAATATTTTGTTGTTGTTGTTGCTACAAATCAACCTTTACACCTGCACATTGTTGTCACCAACAAATGTACAAAGGTCTGATCTATAAACTATATTTAGATGTCCTGTATTTTTTAAGTTTATTGCCTCAACAAATTTAGCCTATTTTGGCTTTTCTGCAATATGTTATAATTCCCTTACTAAGTGAGGATAGGGGCACAGCTTCATGAAAAAAAACGGATCCAAACCATTTTCCAGCTTGGGGAACTCTGAATTCCCACCGCAAAGTCAGCTAGGACCTTTATCCTAACATTTCCCATTTTCATCCTACGTTCACCTCTATAACGCACAGCCAGCGACCATGTTTTCAATTGATGAATGCCAACGCAAGACAGAGCTGCACTTGTCTAACTTTCAAATATTCGTGGTTTTTAATAGTTAAGGATTTTAGTCGGGGGAGGAGGGGGAAGACTTTTCTCCAGCACAGTTTATTAAACTGGGTCCTTAAAAATCTCATTCTCTGCCAACAATTTTGAGAATCATTGGCACGACATAAAAATTACTATGCGGTGCAATTACTTCTTTTTAAAATCAGAATGTATGGGGAAATATTTTATGCATATTGTCTTCAAGCGCACCTTAAGGCCACATTTACTTTTCCCCTGTCATACCTGCCATTGCGTGACATCTAATGAAGAATATTGGTGTGCATGACAGGTTAGTAATAAAGTGCAGGATTTGCAGACATACCACCGCAATATCCCTCCTTGCCTGCGAATCTCACTTACATCTAAATAGTTTCACTCATGTCCACACAGAAGCCCCTATGCACTGTTAGATTGTCACTCATAAATATTATAACCGATTCATTATAGTCTTCGCTTTTGTATGAAACCCTTAATGTCAGTCATATTGGCCAACAAGCAATGGCAGATGAGGATTCGAACGCCTAGCAAGTGTCCATCATTGTCACTGACAAGCATACATTTTTAAAAATTGTCACTCACGACCGAATAATTACCCCCTTTCGCTCCATTGATGTGTCACTCATAAAAACTATAATTAAATAGTAATAATTATTCCAAATGTCAGTCAGGTTATCAGCTGGATGGGTAGGTCTTCAGCCCCCATCAAAATTTAATCAGGGAATTGTTGAATCTCAAATTGGATATATTTTGCGGTTTATCGTATTTGAAAGTCTAGCTGTAGGAGAAGGAGAAAAGGAAAAAAAAAACCCCCGTTAAGTTTTATACTATTCAGAAAGCAGGTTACAGATTTTCGGGCTTGGCATGTGATTGTGTGACACTGGCTGGTAGTAGATTAATGAATCTATTGTCTCTTGGGAGAATCACATATGCGCAATAGGGGAAAAAAACAAAAAACAACTAAATAAAAATACACAATCGCATGGTATATCTCAAACTGCGCATTAAGAAAATGCAACCCCTCATTTAAATTTTTGTTTTATCGTATTTTTTTTTTTTTTTTTTAGGATTTAGAATATAATTCTGTACACACCACTTGTTTTATTTCATAATTACTTTATTTTATTTTATAAAAAAAAAAAAAAAACATCCTGAGTGAGAGAAACCAATTTAGGCAAGGATTAAAAACTTTAATCCCAACTTAATTAGGATGCTGACTCCCAATAAATGCAGTTTCTGAGGGCAAATCTCTGAGCAAAGCTTTTATTTTTTATTTTTTTATTTTATCCCTCTCAGTATATGGCTGTTTGAGGTTTTACACATGAACAAAATGAGGTAAATTCTTGCACACACACAGACAAATTCACCATAAATAAAGATAGCCCAGCATTGTATTAGGATTTTGCTATGATTTTATTATGACACCAGGGGCAGCCTGGGCTGTGTGTTGTGAGGTGTTACTGTGATTAACTTTGCCATGTTTGAGTGCCTTGCAGCACACAGGTTTTTATTGTTGTTGTGAGGTTTCCTGGTGAGAGCAGCCAGGTACTGACTCCATGCTCTGTGCTCTCCCCGAGCCCGCCACTCGAGCCGCCCTCACAGCAAGCCAGCAGCCGAGCCCCCGGTGACGTCACGCAGCCGCGGCCCACCTGATCAGACCAAGTCGGGTCACGTGATCGAGCTCCCGAACGCCGCCATCTTGAAACGCTCTGGACCTGCAGACTTTTGTCGGCTTGGTATTTTGTCATTATTATTTTTTAATTAATATCAGCGTTATGAAGATCTCCATAGTCATCCTGTGCAAAGTAGAGTGAAATGGGCGGCCAGGCTGCGATGTTCCCCTAAGGCTGTGTGTAGGGCAGCTGTATAGGAGGTGAGTGGGTGTCTGGGGGGGTGTGAGGGACTCCTCCATGGGGGCAGTGCTGGTGGGGCTGGCAGGAGGCGTGTGAGGCCTGGCTGCTCTCAGCACAGGGCACTTGGCCCTCATGGTGTCTTGCTGGCTGGTAGAGCATCATGGGAGATGTAGTGCACAGCAGCTGGAGTGCCAGGGTTATGGCAAAGGGAGCTGGACAGAGGGTAGATCCCCAAGCTGGTCCTGAACCATAACTCCCATGATGCTCTGAAAGCTTTAAGTCTGGAAAATGATAAAAAGGATAATGGTAATTGTAGTCATGCAACAGCTGGGGATTGCCATTGAGCTAGGAAGTATGTGCAAACCTTTGGCATCCAGCTGCTGCAAGCTACAGCTTCAATGAGGTTGGCTGGGATAGATGGGTGTTATTTGGGCTGGAAAATCCAATTTGGAAGTTGGAGGACAATCCCTATTCACTAAGGAACCCTTGTTTTAGAGCTGCATAAGACAAAATAAAAGCTTATACTTGTTCGGTATACTGTAAAAACGTATACTTGTTCAGTATACTGCTTTCACTTTTGTATGAGGATTCCTGTCTGTTAGCAACACATTAGAGGAGATCTGTCAACGTGTTCTGACCTGCAAAGTTGTAAAACTAAACTATTCACCAATGGAATGTGCCTACGGATTCCACTGGGGTTTTGTGCTGATTACACGTCCAATCGTCCATTAGAACTTTATTACTTTTCTGATCCCCAATGACGGTGGCTACTTAACTCTAGTCAACTGTGTCAGGTAACTGGTACAGATCATCACTTCATTTGGCAAGAACATCGTTAACGTCTGTCTGAAGGCTGTGCACTTTTGTGTACATTTTATGGATTCCAGCCATAATATGTGCATTTTCTTAAAACTCCTTTTTTTTGGATGGTTTTTGAACTTGATTTTAATCAATTGTTTTTTTGTTTTTTTTTTATTGAATAATTTTTCAAAGTATTATAACAATCATTTTCAATAAAATAAGTAGGGGAGGATTAAAGGGGGAAACATTGCCACCTGCATGTTCATAATCAAACAAAACAATTTATTTTTAAGAATATACGATTGTTCGAGTAACATATTAAAGTGAATGTGTATTTATTACATTTATTAAAGGTGAATTATTTAGCCAATAACATAATTATTAAAGTGTATTATAAGTAATTTGTAGGTCTAAACTACACAGAACATGTTTGCTTGTTATCTTCCCATATGTTCTAATAAAGTTTCAATTGGCCCACTATAGATGATGGCTAAGCAGAGCCATCTAAAGGCATGGGCATGTTGGGCAAATGCCCAGGGCCCTGTAGGCTTGCCAACATTTCAGTATATTATTTCAGGAGACTTATTCAGAACTTTTGAAAATCTCTTTATTAAAACGTTTATGCTAATCACCTCAGTATCAGTTGTTATTTGTACATGCGATCTTACTGTTGCAAATACATATGTTGACCTTAATGAAAACCACATATTTTTACTAATTATACACAAGTACAACTTTAAGGCTCATATTATATTGCCCAAACTTTGCGTGAATTACTCTCTGCTGTACAGCTTGTTTTTTAATGTTTAAACACTGATTTTATTGGAAGTACCAATAAGTTTAATTTAACCCCTTAAGGACAGAGCTTCAGAAGCTAGTCTTTCACTTAATGACAACAGCATTTTATTCATTTTTTGCTGTTTGCATTTAACTGCAATTTGCCTTTTACTAATTTATTGCACCGACACACATTATTATTATTATTATATATCGTTTTTTAAAGGACAGAAAGGGATTTAATTTGAAGTAACACACATATATATAAATGCTTATTTATTATAAAAAAAAATACAGAAAAATGCAAAAAAAAATAAATTTTTTTTTTTTTTTTACAGTTTTTGCAATAATGTGTGCATAATTAGTGCAGGTTAAGGAAAGTAATTAAAATTCATTTAGTTGTTCTGATTTACAGAATATATAATGTGTCTGGGATTTTAAGTTTTTTTTTGGTAGTTACAGGTCACAAAGCACAAGGAGTAAAATAAACTTTTAATGTAGAACAATTTTAGAATTTGGTATGCTTGTCTTGTAAGCTTAATAGCCATAAAAGAAAACAAAATTGCCACACAAAAGTATATATTTATATAAAGTAGACATCACAGGCTATTTACCTAGGGTTGTTTTGACACTTTCTACGTAGCCATTTCACCGCCAACCTCTGCTAAATATTGGAGTAAAACTGTGGGGGGTTTTTTGGTTTTTGGCACACAAACTTATAACAAAGAAATTCTCATGTGTATTTTGTAAAGTTGGTTTGTGCTATTCCTGTACAAAGTTTTTTTTGTGTTCAATTATATCTCCTGAGTAAAATGACACCCCATTGTATGTCTTTGGCACTATTTCGTAAAGTTACACTGCCATATAGGAGGCCTGTTCTTTTCAGTATTCACAGTAGAATTTTGAGAGACGGATTTAATGAGCCTATGCTTCCATTTGGGGTATTATAACAGTTTGACTGTTCAAAAAAGCCCGCAAAGGCCTACCATTTGTAAAAGTAGACACTCCAGGGTATCTCATAAGGTGCATATTGTGCCTTAATATGCCCCCATTTTTTCACCAATATATGCCAAAGTATGTGATAAAAAATAATTTTGTGCATTTTTTACATATGGATTGCATTTTTGCTGGGCATTTTGTATATTTCACATGTGCCACTAAGTTCAAATCCCCCAAATTATGCTCGGCTATGTCTTCTGAGTAAAAAGACACTCCCAATGAATGTCTTTGGCACTATTTTGTGAAGCTACAGTGCCATATAGGAGACCAAGCCATATCAGTTTTTACCGAACTTTGAATTTTGACGCTGGGCCTATGTGCAATTTCCAAGCATCTTAGCAGGGTTTAAATTCAAACTACCCCACAAAGGCCTACCATTTCTTAAAGTAGACACCCCAGGGTATTTCTAAAGGTATATTTTGAACCTTAGCGTTGGATCTTTTTTCTGCTAGCTTGTACCAAGTGTAGTGGTAAGTGTTTTTTCTGCCTTTTTGACACACAAAGTGAGTTTGCACAGTATATTTTGCAAACATTATGTGTGCTACCAGTGTATAATACTTCATATGTTGCTCAGCTATGTCGGCTGAGTACAGCAATACCCCCGTATGTACCTTTGCCAGGGGCGCATTTGAGATGCAGCCATTCAGTTATTTTCTAACTTTGAAGTTTTACGCTGTGTCCATGTTCCAATTTGGAGTAGTTTAGACGGTTGGTTATTGAAACTTCCCCACAAACACATACTATTTATTAAAGAATACACCCTGGGGTAATTCAAAAGGCATATTTTGAACCTTAGCGTGGGATCATGAGCGTTTTTAAATTAATTTTTTTACTTTTTGAAACTTTTATTTACTTTTAAAAACTAGTTTTTAAACTTTTGTTTTGCTTATTCATTTTTTTAAACTTTCCTAAACTTTCTTAAAACTTTTTTTACAGATTTAAAATTTTTCTAAGCTTTTTTTTACTGTTAACCTCTAACTAGCAGTAAGCAGCACTAACAGTAAATTCCCCATTTTCCCATAACTCCCACCCACCCCAGCTAGCAAAATATATAATTATAAAATATTTTAATTGAATAAATTGAACCCCTGAGGGTTAAAAAAATAAATAAAAGTTAATCCTCAGGGGTTAAAAAAAATTATCACAGTATAATACTGTGATCTGTATTTTGATCACTGTAGGCAGTGATCGACTGGCAGGGAAGGGGTTAATTTGCATTTGGACTGGGTAAAGGTTTTTTTTTTTTAACTTAAACGTTAACTTTTTTTTGCTTAATTTTTACCTTCTTAAAGTTTATTTTAAAACTTTTAACGTTAACCCCTAGTTAGCCTAACACCAAATCCCCCAATTCCCCACTAACTTCCACCCACCCCAGCTAGCTAAATATATAATTTTAGAATATTTAAATTAATTAAATTTTAACCCCAGGGGTTAAAAAAAAAATCATGTGACAGTAAAATGTAATCCCTGCCAATTGATCACTGTAGTCAGTGATCAATTGGCAGGGAAGGGGTTAATTTTTTATTAAAATGGGTAAAGGGGGGAGGGATTTTAAATTTAATTTTAATTTTTTTAATTTTTTTTTTTAAACAGGGGGCAGGATCATCACCTTCCGCCTCCCTGCACTTCCTGGTTCTGTGTGAAGTGCAGGGAGGCGGAAGGTGAGTATATGGAGCACATGTGCTCGCTCTGACAGCGTGTCAGAGCGAGCAACTGTGCTGGGGCAGCCTGATCGGGTTCTCTCGGTCTGCCGGAGCACCATTAACCCCGATCCGGGGTTAATTTTAACGGGTGATGGACAAGGTCCGTCACTCGTCGTTATGGCAATCCCCTGAGTGACTGACCTCGTCCGTCACTCGTCGTTAAGGGGTTAATCAATAATTTACATTTTTATATCTGTGAGTGGTTGTGTAGGAAGGGCCCCAGTGCACTGCTTTACCTGTGGGCCATTTCATAAAGCTTGTTATCTAGAACTAGATATAGAACCTCTTTAATAGATGGTATATTAGGTGATTTTAAGTATCTGGGGATAGAAGATGTAGCTGCTATAAAGATATGGCATATCACGATCTTGTCAATTCCAATGGTGTTATCAGGAAATCTCTTGAAGAGACTTAACTCAGGTGTCAAAATCATGATTGACTGGATCATTTTTTTTTTTATATATGTATGCCAATATTATTGAAATTTGGGATTATGCCGCCAAGTATGAGATAGTAAACCGAACTGAGCAGTGAGACTGTAGGGAAATGATTTATATATCAAAGGTGCTTAAAGTGTCCCTTTAAAATGTAGACACATGAGAA